TGTGTGATTAGGATGAACTTTCAATTTGAAAGACAAAAAAAGAAATTTTCAACGGAGTTCTGGTCTGAAAAGGCATATTTAAATGGAGGATGTTAAAAATTTTAAGAGCATCGATCCGAATTTTTGTATTGATCCGAGGTGAATTTTTTAGAGAGCGGTTGGATCTTTAAGATTTTTCTTCCTTTAGCATTTTTAACCTTTTTTTTTTATTTTCACCCCTTCGATTTTCAACCACTTTATTGTTATGTTAATGGCCTTTTTTATTAGATAATTTTTAAGGATATTTTGGTCATTTTGTAAGTTGACATACTCATCATATGGTGAAAATCATCTTTAAGTCCAAGCTCTCATGCTTGCTATGCAATTTGATATATACAACACGAATGAATTTTTATGGAAGATCATGCTGATTTGGTTGTGTCAGAATGCACACACTTAAAATGATGTCTATGTTCGAGGTCGAGCCAAAGGCTCTTTGGACAAAACTTCCAATTTTCCTTCTAATCCAAGTGTGTCATGTGTGTCTTGCTGGTAGATGGTGCTTCGAAGTCCGGGACGCCTTATGCTTTGATTTGGCCTCCGTGTCCTTGATGCAAATGCTAATAGACATGCTGGCATGAAATGAGGTCTTTTTGGAGCTAATGTAGATCTCGTAAACAGGAATTATTTCAGCACATAACATTTGTTTCACAATGACTTTTACTCGACATACCAATACTATCTCCGTGCCATTTACTTACCCAATTATTGAAACTTATTTTGTAAGCAGAAACATTATAAAAAGTGTAAGGTTCTTCTTCTATTTCAAACTCCAGATCAATTTTGGTTTCACTACTTCATCAGAAATCATGGAATGAATATAATATATTTCACTAGTTTCAAATTTAGCTTCATTGTGATTGTTGTCATCTTTAACCATTATCGTTGTGTCACTCCAACTTTCCATTATATTGATGTTCTTCTGTAAAATTATTACAGTCGTCGATAACCATTAAAAGAAAATTGCTTCTATACTTTTTATGATAATATATTGAATTAATAACATTAAAAATAAAAATGAAACAGAAGTTATTTCTATATTTCTCTCCATGTCCATGCAAGTTTTAATGGATAATATATATATATAAACCAATATTTGATTATTTCTAAGCCCATTTAGCCATGAGAGACATTCCTCCAGCACCCAACAGAACAGCCATATACGATTTGATTTGCAGCTTGATGCTACCCTGTAACTTTGGTCCCGTGAAATCTGTTGCAAGAAGATCCACCAAGCCATGTAAACCAAAAGGCGAGCTGACGAGGCGTTCAGCAAACCAACAATAATCTAAGCACGAGGGCCGTTTTCTTTTTAAGTAGTCCATAGTACTGTTGACCTCGGGAAATGGCTCCGATGTAAGTGTTATGCCCTACACCCA